GAACCCGCCGACCGGTAGCGACTACCACACGGCGGCGGGAACAGAGATGATCGACTTTACTGCTGTGATGTCGTGCAGCGGCGGAACGAGTGGCGGAACGAGTGGCGGGACGAGCGGCGGCACGACGGGTGGAGAGCCCACGCCTCCGCCTACTCCTGCGCCTACTCCTGCGCCTACTCCTGCGCCTACTCCTTCGCCTACTCCTGCGCCCACCCCGCACCAACGCCGGCCCCGACGCCCAACTTTAGCAGCATGTCGTGCATGGAGGTCGGGAGCCAGGGCATGCGGGTGTACTGGCAACCGATCACCGGTACTGACACGACAATCACACTGGGTATGTCTGTGCCGTCGAGCACGGGCTGGGTCGGCATGGGCTTTGTACCGTCGTCGACGTCGATGGCAAACGGCGACTTTGCGTTTGCGTACGTGGACGGTGCAACGCCATACCTTCTGGACACACACCGCGGGGCCGGATCCGGTCCTGTGGCCGTGGACACTGTCGGTGACTACACAGGTACGACAGTGATGAATTTTGGCGGTGTGCTGCAGGCGCAGTTTACACGTGCGCTTGTGACCGGCGATAGCCAGGACCGCGACATTGTGGCCGGCCCGAATCTGGTTGCGTGGGCGTTTAACTCTGCAGCGACGCCGTCGAACCCGCCGACCGGTAGCGACTACCACACGGCGCGGGGAACAGAGATGATCGACTTTACTGCTGTGATGTCGTGCAGCGGCGGAACGAGTGGCGGAACGAGTGGCGGGACGAGCGGCGGCACGACGGGTGGAGAGCCCACGCCTCCGCCTACTCCGAGCCCGCCTCCACCGAGCCCGCCTCCCACACCCGCGCCGACACCTGCGCCGACACCTGCGCCTACTCCTGCGCCCACCCCTGGTACCATTCTTTCTGGCCTGTCGTGCATGGAGGTCGGCAGCCATGGCATGCGCGTGTACTGGCAGCAGATCACCGGCGCGAGCTCGGAGATCATGCTTGGGCTCTCGGTGCCGACTGACGTCGGCTGGGTCGGCATGGGCTTTGTACCGTCGTCGACGTCGATGGCAAACGGCGACTTTGCGTTTGCGTACGTGGATGGTGCAACGCCGTACCTTCTGGACACACATCGTGGGGCCGGATCTGGTCCTGTTGCCGTGGATACTGTCAACGACTTGACGGATGTGACGGTGATGAACTTTGGCGGTGTGCTGCAGGCGCGCTTCACACGGGCGCTTGTGACCGGGGATGGACAGGACCGCGACATTGTGGCCGGCCCGAATCTGGTTGCGTGGGCGTTCAACTCTGCAGCGACGCCGTCGAACCCGCCGACCGGTAGCGACTACCACACGGCGCGCGGAACTGTGACGATCGACTTTACGGCTACATCGTCATGCGCAGCGACGCCCGCGCCAACGCCCGCGCCAGTTCCGACTCCGGCCCCGACTCCGGTCCCGACCCCGCCCCCGACCCCGGCCCCCACTCCGGCCCCGACCCCGGCCCCCACTCCGGTCCCCACTCCGGTCCCGACCCCGCCCCCGACTCCGGCTCCGACCCCCAGCTTCAGCACCATGTCGTGCATCGACGTCGGCACTCACGGCATGCGTGTTTACTGGCAGCCGATCACCTCTTCCGACACCCTCATCACTTTGGGTATGTCGGTTCCGGCGAATACCGGCTGGATTGGGCTCGGCTTTGTCCCCTCATCAACCTCGATGGCGAATGGCGACTTTGCGTTTGCGTACGTGGACGGTGCAACGCCGTACCTTCTGGACACACATCGCGGGGCCGGATCTGGTCCTGTGGCCGTGGATACTGTCAACGACTTGACGGATGTGACGGTGATGAACTTTGGCGGCGTGCTACAGGCGCGTTTCACACGGGCGCTTGTGACTGGCGATAGCCAGGACCGCGACATTGTGGCCGGCCCGAATCTGGTTGCGTGGGCGTTCAACTCTGCAGCAACGCCGTCGAACCCGCCGACCGGCAGCGACTACCACACCGCACGCGGAACGACTATTATCGACTTTACCGCAGTGGTCTCATGCAGTGGGACGCCTTCGCCGACGCCGGCCCCGACGCCTGGTCCAACACCGGCACCTCATACCTGCGCCGGCACTGCTGTCATCAACTCGGGTACGTCAGGCACCATCATGATGCCGGCTCCGTACTCGAGCTCGACGTACTACAGTTCGAACCTTGACTGCTCGTGGCTGTTTGGCTTCCCACCATCTACCGCTATTGCGCTCACGGCGACCGAGTTCAACACCGAACTCAACCACGACTTCCTCACCCTCTCGACTGGCGATGCCTACTCTGGCACTACGCTGCCGTCGCTGCCGACTATCCCTGGTGACGGAAGCCTGCGGTTCACCTCAGACACCGATGTCGCCGGCCACGGCTTTGTCGTTCACTGGATGATAACCACACCGGCCCCCACACCCATGCCGACGCCTGCACCGACACCGATGCCAACGCCCGCCCCGGCGCCGCCGGAAACTGTTCCTTGCGCTGGCACTACCATCGTGCCGTCCGGCTCGACAGGCACCATATCCATGCCCTCACCGTACTCGTCGACTGGATCCTACACGCCAAACCTGGACTGCACCTGGCAGTTTGCTTTCCCGCCGTCGACTACCATCACGCTCACAGCGACCGAGTTTGATACCGAGGCCGGCCGCGATGTCCTCACCCTTTCCACCGGCGACTCGTTCTCTGGCAGCACCCTGCCGACACTCCCGTCACTCCCGGGCGATGCCAGCTTCCGGTTCATCTCGGACGCCAGCGGTCAGGGATCTGGTTTTGTCATCGACTGGGTGGCAACTCCGGCCACGCCTGCGCCGACGCCCATGCCGACGCCTGCGCCGACGCCTGCGCCGACGCCCTCGCCAACGCCCGCGCCAACCCCGGTGCCACCGGCCACGCCTACCGCACTGCCGGTCACTGTCGATGGCCTTGTGGATGACTGGACTGGATTCCAGCTGCCGTTCCAGCTGCACTACATCGAAGATCCCGAGGACGACGGTCGTCTCTCGCAGCTGCCGCTCGAGTACTCAGTTCCAATCGATGAGCCGAGCACCGACTTTGACATTCTGCGCTACGTGTCGTCGCCAGAAGTCGAGGCTACTGCCGCAGCTGTCTCGGTGCGTGGTCCCATCCGCCGTGGCGGAACGTCGACCACTCATCATGCCATATACTTTGCGCCCAAGGCACCGACGCTCCCGTCGGCAGGCATGGAGATTGTGCCTGACACCTATGCCGTTGCCATGATCTACAACGGTGTTGGTTATCTGTACTCGGGCCTGGATCTCTCGAACGACTGGGCCTGGGCGCGAATTGACCCCGACCTCTACTCGCATACCGTCCGCGACGACATCACCGAAGTCTTGCTCCAGCACGAGGCTTTTGCCTCGCTCTTGCCGACCAACACCGAGATGGAGGTCCATGCCGAGCTGCGCACCGACTCGAGTACCCTCGGAGACCTCTCCGACGACGTAGTCGACTACGTTCCTGACCGCAATGCCCCGCTGCCGCGCGCACCGCCGCCGCCGGGCAACCCGTCGGACACAGGCTCGACCCCACGTCTTGCGCTCGACATAGACGGCATTGATGCCGAATGGTCCGCCCTCGTCGCCACTCCGTCGTTACCAAACATGGTTGTCTCTGTCATCCCCGACACCGAGAATGACGGCATTGACGCTGGCACCGTTGCCTCGCGGAACCAGCTTCCGGCCGAGAACGACTATCGCGAGATGATCCTTGCCATCGACGACTTCACGGTCGCGCTGTTTGCGGTTACCCACGCTGCTACGGGCGTGCCACACACGCCAACCACCCACCATCGCATTTACTTTGTTACGGATGCCCCACGCGCCGGTTACACCCTGCGCCAGGGCGAGGTGGCCGTCGCCATGATCGACGATGGCATTGGCTATGTCTACAAGGGCACTGGCATCTCATCGACGAGGACTTGGACGCCGCTTCCATACCCGTCAGCCCTCTACGGCGCGGTCGAAAACGGCAACGCCGTCGAAGCCTTTATGGTCACCCGCGTTTGGGCCCATCTTGTCGAGAACGACGCCGTTGTCACGCCTGTCCTCATGCTCATCGATGCTGCTACCGACGTTGTAGACATTGTTCCCAACCGCGCTGCAGGTGCTCCCGACGCACCGCCGCCGCCGCCGACCGTCACCGCCACGAGCGGGACGGGGGCAGGCTCGCCTCCGCCGCCGCCCGACACAGGTTCGGCGACTGCCACCGGCGTCGCCGCAGTCTCGACTGGTGGCGCGAACTCGGGGAGCGATGATTCGATCTTCTCGATCTCGTCGTCCAACATTTGGGGTCTTCTTCTCTTCCTCCTGTCACTTCTTTGCTGCTGCTGCCTCCTTCTCCTGCTCCTTCTCCTCTGTCTCCGCCGTCGGCGCGAAGAGAACGTGAGCCGGACCGAGGAGCACCACATCCACATCGAGAACTCGCGCCGCTCGCATCGCTCATCACATCTGTCGTCGGCCAAGTCGGCAGACTCTCAACTGAGCACACCGCGGCGTGTGCCGCCGCAACCGCCGCGGACACCCGCTGCACTTGCCGCGCCGCAGACGGCCGCGGCACCGTTGCCCATCACCTCGTCGCCGCCGCCGCCATCGTCCTCGTCGCTGCCGTCCGACCTGTACTCGAGCTACTACTCGAGCGACATCTCCGACATTCCCGCCACGGCCTCTCCAGGCAAGTTCCAGAAGACCGTGGTTACCAAGACCGTGACCCGACGGGTCGCACCGAGCGTCTCTGCCGACGGCGAGGTGGTGCCGGGCAAGTCGTACACGGTGGTGACTCGGTCGACGTCTCCGGATGGCGCAGGCCGAAGCACGACGCGCTCCAAGGCGTCTATTAAGGACTCGATGTCAGACTCGGCTATCAGTGACCAAGACAATGACAGCGTCCGAGACGTGCCAGTGCAGACCCGCTCGCGCTCACGCTCGCGTCCGGCTGCCACCCAGACAACCTCGCTCGAGTGGAGCCCGAACTCCTCAATCGCGGCCATGTCGCTCCAGGACGGCCGCAGCGATCCCGAGGCTGCTGCTGCCGCTGCCGCTGCCGCGCGGTCTCGGTCACGGTCGCGGCCACCGCTGGCGCTGCACGAGCGGGAGCTCCTCGCGGCCATATCGGAGAACGCCCACCGCGATGTGGCAGTGTCGATGGACGACGACGGGTTTGACGATCCATGGGCGCCGGCCCACTCGCTCCCACCTCGCCCGTCTCGCTCGCACAAGACACCCGCACACCCGCACACACACTCTCGGTCGCGATCGCGGTCTCGGTCGCAGTCGCGGCCATCGTCACTGAAGCCGAAACGGTCGCGCCGGCGGCGGTCGCGGACACCCGCAGCGGACCGCCCTCTCTACGACGGAGAGCCGCTCGAGCTTGTCTCACCGGAAGATCTCCCGCTTCGCTCGTCGTCGCGCAGCCGATCACGCTCGCGGCCACGGTCGAGCTCACGTTCGCGGTCTCCGAACAAGAAGCCCCATGCCTTCTACGTCGGCCCATTCTACAAATTCTCATCATCGAGTGTCTCTGATGACGAGTACTGGTCCGACTCGCAGTAAAGTGGCGAAATCCAACCGAGATAGCTGAGATGAGGCTGTGGGAGGCTGAGGAGGGGGGGGCAACCGTCCTTGGCCGACAACCCGAGCCGCACGGTATTTGTCCAGAGGACTCCTTTTGCGACATTCGTCGACTAACCCCTCCCCCCTCCCACCCCCCCACTCCCACACCCCACCCCACCCACACACCCCACCCAACTCGACCCCACCCTCCACCATGCCGTTGCGTACGTCACCCTCCCTCCCTTTCCCCTCCCTCTTCCCTCTTCTTTCTCTTTCCCTAGAGTCCGCGGCTGTGTTGGGGGGAAGGAGGGGGGGGGGACAGGTGCTACACAGGGTTTTCTACCTCTGCCACACGAAACCCCACTGTGTCCCTGCTTCTCCCGTCTCATATGCAAGCATTGTGACGGGAGGACACATCACAGCTGGCTATGTAGAAAGACCCCACACTCACTACTCTATGGTTGCTATGGTGGTGGTATGGAACTCGTTCTGGTTGCTCTGCTGGCATGACCTTGCTACCTCCTCCAATTCCCCCCACCAACCCCAACCCCAATCGTGCCCTTGCAATTGCTGCCAATCGATGTGCGCTCGGATTGGGGGGGATTGCTTCCGGCTTGGGCTGTGGCTGTGGCTGTGGCTCTGACTGTGGCTGTTGGACGGGTTGCTGCTGACGGTGTTGTAGATCCGCCGCAACGCCCCCGTCGGCCATCGGAAAAGCTGCGGGACATTCAGGCGGTCCGCGAGGCTACAGCACAACCGCCACGGACCAGCTCGGCACTGGGGCCGCCTCCGCCGACATCACGTGCGAGATCGGCGTCGTCTGTTGTTGCTAGTGGACAGGCTGGGGCGGCAGGCGAACGCCCTGTGCCAGGCGCGGGGCACCCAAAGCCAGGCCCTCTCCGCCGCGACAGTGCCAGTAAGCCACGGCCGGCGAACGGGTTCCGCCGCTCACGCCAGCGCACCACATCCGAGCAGATCCACACGTCGCCGTCGCTGCCTACCCGAGGCCCGCCACCCAAGCCCAAGCCGGGCTCGAAGCCGCGGCCGGTCCCGGGTCCGCGACCGTCTGCGACGACCGGCAAGGGGCCACGCCCATCGGCTGCCGCCCTCACCATTGTCTCCATATTCAAGGCCGAGCGGCAGTACGTCCTGCTCCTCGAGTCGATGGTCGAGGTCCTCAGTGCGGTCCTCGCCGATGAGCCCAGTGATTCCAAGGGCGGGCGGCTGCTCGCGCGGTTTGACGCCCTCCTGCAGGCCAACAAAGCTCTGTTTGTCAAGCTCTCAGGCCGCGCAGACACCCCGTTCTCGGTTGTTCAAACCTGTACCGCCTTTCTCGGCACCATGCCGCGGCTCTATGCCTATGCCGACTTTGCGCGTCATCGGGAGCTGATGAAGCGATACCTGGCGACGGAAATGCCAGCCAAGGCGTCGTCCGAGCTCAACCGATACCTTGAGAGCAAGGCCATTTTGCCGGAAATGTTGTTCTCCAAGCCGCTGGCTCATTTCATGCTCTACCCTCGGCTGGTCTCCAAGCTCCAGACATGCGAGTTGCTCTCGGGCGCGGACATCAGCGCCATCAACGAAGTTCTCGGCCGGCTCAAGGACCTCAAGATGGCAGTCCAGGAGCAGGCATCGATCTCGCGCGGCTACGGTCGAGTCGAGGACGAGCTGGCGATGATCGAGCCGGTACCCGAGCTCACCGGCATCCTCCATCTCGGCCAGAAGCTTGTCGAGGCCGGCGAGACCATTGTGTTTGAGCTAGGCCTCGACGAGCTGATGCACACGCCGCGGGCGCCGTCCAAGACCGTCGACTCGTATCCCGCGCGCTTCTGCCTCCTCACTGACTCACTCCTCATCCAGCGCCGCAAGCGCAAGGTCAAGAACCATCGTATTTACACGCTGCAGCTCAAGCTGAGCGCTGCAACGCTCGCCATGGAGCGCGAGCTCGACCATGACCGCGACGCCCTGAGAGTCCACGACCACAAGCACCTCCTCGAGCTCCTCTTTGAGTCCCCCGAGCGCAAGGCCGAGTTTATCGCCGGCGTCGAAGAGGTGAAGCGGACATTTGCCACCCAGCACGCGCTCTCATCATCATCAGCGTCGCTCACGCTCGATGGCTCACTCGTCCCGGGCCACGCGGGCGCCGACTCGTCGTCGTCGTTCCGCCTTCCGCTTATCGAACTAGGCTCGCAGCACGACGTCGCCACTGTTGTCTCGAGTATTGCTCGCGTCCGCGACGTCGCCACATGTGAGTCGCTGCCGCAGCTCACGGCGTACGTCCAAAGTCTCGACGTCGCCATCGAGGCGCTCTCACTCGGCGCTGCCGTCAGCGACGACACCACGCTCCGCCCGGAGCGCGACCAACGCACAGTTGTCATGGCGGCCTACGAGGCCCGCGAGACTATCGCCGCCAACGCTCGCCTGGACGCGATCTTGGAGGACGCCGTCGGTGGCAAGCGGCCAACGCCGCCGGCCCGTCCGCCAGCGTCGTCAAAGCCGCCACCGGCGGCGACAGCTGTCCTCGCTAACTCGTCCAGCCGCACGCTTGTTTGGGACAGCTCGGTTACCTCGGTCGCCTTTCCTGGGCCCGACGGACTTGTCTGTGTCAACCCCCGCGCGCTCGATAAGGACCAGCTTGTCAAGGCCTATCTCGTTGCTGTCAACGAGCTGGCGCGTATGCGCGCGGCCTCGCGCCCGTAGCCCCGACTCCCTGAGCCAATACATCCGCCGATGCTCACCCTGCCCACGACATGGCAATGCCGCGACTTGCCCATGACGAGGCCGCGGTTGTCGACATGACGTCTTCCGCCTCGTCCTGGCTAGCCATCACCGCCACGGCCTTGTGCTTGGACTTGCCGGGCTTGGGCGGCTTGTGCAGCCACGAGTCAACATTGCCAAACATGCCAAGCAGCTCCTTGACACGATCCGGTCCGCCAACCTTTGCGTTCCATTTGAGCGCAATGGCGCGAACGCCCGGCGGAGCAGGGCTAGCGGTAGCCGATGGCGGCGGACTTGGCGCTGGTGATGCCAGCGGGGTGTGCATCGCTCTCAGTGACGCGATCTGGTCCTTCAGCGCCGCGCGCTTCTTGGCATCGACGACGTCCTTTGCCGCCTGCTGCGCATCCGCCTTATGACGGGCTCTCTTGGCCTTGCGCGAAGCTTCCTCCCGGGCATCCATCTCGTCGGCCGCTGCGCGTCTCTCGGCCTGCATCTCCTGCCGCTTCCGCTTCTTGGACGCGTTTGCAGCGAGAACCGAGTCATAAGCAATCCGGAGCTGCGGGTGCGAGAGAACCTCGTACGCCCGATGCAGGGCATGAAAGACAGCAGCAGCAGCTTCATCTCCAGGATTCCGATCAGGATGGACCTTGCGTGCCAGAGACCGATACTGTTTGCGAATGGCTTTGTCGGTCGGCGGCGGCTGAGCGACCAGCTCCAGTTCCTCGTACAAGTCCCTCTCCACCACATCCGCAATAGCCTTCTGTGCCTCTTCTGCCGAATACTCCATGTCTCTCTGCCCTACAACCACCGCAGCCTCTCTACTCTTCTACCTCTCCCTCTCTTCTGCGAGCGCCCGAGTTGAGTGTGCTGTCTGCCACTCCCCACCAACGCATCGCCGGCACAGGCCGAGCGCGACTCGAGGCCGCATCCAGGCCGGAACCACAACGCACGGGCATTCAATGGCTTGGCCAGATGCATCGTATGTAGGTGGATCATGAGTATGGCGATGGGGATGGGGATGGGGATGGGGATGGGGATGGGGATGGGGATGGGGATGGGGGAGGGGATGGCTGCCGCCGGCATGGAGGTGATCGTCTCGAGGCGGAGGTGCAGCCGAGGCACATACATGCTGCAGACAAGCGGGTAATATCCGGATCGACCCATGGCCAAGGCTAGGGTCAAGAATGAGTTACACAAGTGGCCAAGTCATCAGATCCCAGCAACAATCCGCGGCTCTACCTTCAGCTCGCCAAGCTATCTCATCGCGCCGTCGCTTTGTGTCTGGCTGCAGCACGACAGCGCTTGTGTCCACGTCACGGCGACAGGCGGGTGGCGAGCGGACAGCGACAGGCCGACAGAGACGGAATAGAGACGGGGCGTGCAGAGGGCAGGGAGAGTAAGGGGAAGGGGCCAAAGACTTGTCGCCGAGGACAAGGAGACTGACGAACGGAAGGAGGGCGTGACGGGATGGCACAGAAGGGAGTGGTAGGATCATTGGCTCGGCCGCTGGCGGCGCTGCGTGCCCTCAACTCGACGTCGCTTTTGGACATGCTGGCGAGGCCATGGACATTGTCGAGGATTTCGGATGAGCCCATTTTCAAAAAGGGCTGGCATGGAGGCAGCAAGGAGCTGTGGGAGGAAATGCTGTCGCTGGCTGATGCGGCTCAGAATGGTCGCGATCTGTACTACGACACCTTTGTCTCGTCTGATCTTGACATTGCCTGGGACGACGGCGCCACCCAGGATGAGCCGTACTGGACTCGTCGTAGTGGTGCTTTTACCTCACCGGCAATCAAGTTCTTGCCACATGAGGCGCATACGGCTCGGTTTATGTTGTTTGAGCCCAAGGTTGCTTTCCATCCCAGGTCTGTCGATCAGGTCGGTGAGGCCGTCGACGAGGGCAGCGACGGCGGGCCGGCCCAGACAGCGTGGCACAACCGGTGGCGGTCGGTGCTGAGCGGACTCGGGAGCGGAAGTGATGCGAGCGATGGCGGATCGTGGGCGCCGGCTGAGCGTGATGCTGCTGAGGACGCCGAGGCTGCAGCGGCGCAAGAGGCGAGCCCGGCGCGACCGGACCTTCGCCCGCTGTGCATCCTGCTGGCGCCGACGGGTGATCACGGGTACACGCGGCGCCGGGTGCTGCACGCACAACCGCTGGCCAAAATGGGCATTGCCACGCTTGTGCTCGAGACGCCGTTCTACGGCGAGCGCAAGCCAGAGGGCCAGTTCCGGTCGTCGCTCCACCACGTGTCGGACCTGTTTGCCATGGGCGGCGGCCTCGTCTCGGAATCACTCTCGCTCATGCACACTTTTGCGGCCGAGCAGCGGTTCAATCTGTTTGGCGTCTCGGGCGCGTCGCTCGGCGGGCAGATGGCGTGCCATGTGGCCGGCGTCTCGCGCATGCCGGTGGCGCTTGTGCCGTCGATCACGCCGCACTCGGCGGCTGGCGTCTTTACCGAGGGCGTGCTCTCGTCGTGGTGCGCGTGGGAGGCGCTCGACGCGCAGTTGCCGCAGTTTGTGGAGACGCTGCCGGAGACCCGCGACCGAGGCGGCTCCGTGACCTCTGTCGACTTTATGAACGCTGTTCTCGACCGGACGACCGACATCCGGCGGTATGCGCCGCCGCTCGTCCCGCAGGCTATCGTTCAGATTGCGGCTCGGGCGGATGGCTACGTGCCGCAGCCGGGCGAGGCGCTTCACAAGCACTGGCCCGGCTCGCAACTGTGGTGGGTGTCGGGCGGACACATCAAGGCCTATGTTGCTCACTTTACTCTGTACCAGCGAGCAGTGCACGAGGCGTTCTCGCAGCTTGTCGCTGCCACGCAAGCCACCGGCGACAGCGCGAGCGCGTAGTGGCAGCCGAGAGGTACTCAGCCCTCGACACAGTTGAGCATGCCGGTGTCGAGGATGCAAAGATAAAGTGCAATGGTGCGCATGTGGGCGTAGCCAAAGCCCTCAAACTCGCCAAGGAACGAGCCGTCGTTCCCGGTGCAGCCGCCGGTGCCATCGATCTCGCACACGGTTGAGCCGCGCTCCTTGATCACCGCCGTGCCGAGGTTGACCTCGACGAGCTCAACGTCGTTCGAGTCAAAGACCTCAAACCGAGTCTCATCAATTCCAGCCTTGCCGTAGCCGAGGAACTCCATGTCCGCGGAACCGACCTCGTACTCATCGATGTTGATGTAGCCGAGGACCTGGCCGGCGTTGGAGGTCACCTCGCCGTCGGCGGCAATGTACGCACGAAACTCGCGGTACCGGTCATAGACGGAAATGAGGACGTCGACGTCATCAGGCGGGCCGGTGAGGAGCTGGCCGCTCGCTGTCTCGACCACGACGGGTTCGACAGGAATGGCGATGGGCGGCGGGCGGTCGTCGGCCGACTCGGCAACCAGCGGGGTGGCGTCGGCAACCTTGGGCTTGGGCTTGGGCTTGGACGGCGACGGGAGGTATGGAGACCACCCACCACGAAAGTAAGACGTCTCTACAACAGCCCACTTGCGCTTCTCCGGCTCGGGCGTATGGAGCATCATGCTGGGCGAGGACGAGGGCGACGGGTGGCGAGGAATGCCGTCGACGCCGAATTCGCCTGAAGTCGAACAGTTGATTGTGGGCGAGGACACGAATGATGGATGGGGTATGGGATCGGGAGAAGATCAGGGAGATGGAAGGGAAGGAGAGGGAGAGGGAGAGGGAGATGGAGAGAGGGAGATGAATGGGGCGGGAAGGGGGGTGAGGGGAGGGCACTACTGTGAACAAGTCCTGTCTGAATGGTATGAATGATCGCCGTTTTGGCCTGAGCTTTTGGCAGGCTTTCGTCTCTAAACTAGTAGAGGACTCCTCTCTCCGGAATTACCCCTCCCGCTCGCAGGCTCGCGGTCGGGAGTCCCGGTGACAAACAGGGCTGTGGTGTGGATGACACAGTGCACACCCTGGGAGACCCCCTACATGAGGGGGCCGTACTGTCCTTGGACAGTGCGGGAGTCGTGGACAATGTAATTTTTGGGGTCGCGCGACCTTCGGCTTCATCCGCGCTCAGGGCACCGGGCGAAGGGTAGCAACCAGTCACGGGCTCTGCCCGTGGCCGGGGGTGCACCCGCGGTCTTGAGCAGGCCGAGGAGCGTGTACCACCAGGAAGGGGGGCCAGGGGAGGAGCCGGCCCCCTGGGCGCCAGGACGTAGTCCGTCTGGCGCCCTTGCACATCCTTCCTCGTGGTCAGAAATGACCCGCCAAACGTCATGCGACCGGAGTCCGCAAGGGGGTGCGGTCTCATTCGAAGGGGGTTGACCGGCGGTAGGTGCACCTACCGTTTGTCGCCCCCGATGGTTGCGGTCAGGGATCCGTCCCTAAACGGCGCTGCGAGGTGTGGACGGATCAGCGGGGCGAGGGCGCATGCGCCCCGCTCACGCTGATCCTCCTAACCCCCCATGGGATGTGTGTCCATCCCGCCGTCGGTCCGCCGACGGCAACCAGTGTCGTCACATGTTGTCGGCATTATCATCCATATTGCCAACCTCTCCCTGGTGGACCGCCGGATGCTCGGTGGTCCTGAGCTGCAACCAGGACAGAGGTCGGCCTCTTGGAGGGTGGGATCTGAAGGAATATCGGTCGTCGGCGCCCCAGTGAGGGATTCCAAGTGACTAGAGTATCCTGCAGTCGATGTTGAGCACCCAACAAGTTGTACGCCGCACCACTTACGGATGTCCTATGTGGCGGCCGTCTTCTCGCCGTAGTGAGATCAGTGGTTCGCGGTACTTAGGGCCGGCGTACAATCCCACGGCAGGTGGCACCCTGCAGTTCCTGTAGGTGCTTCTCTGCTTAACTCCATGCAACAACTCTCCAGCACACGATCTGGAACACAGGAGCTCTCAACAGCGCTGCTGTGTCTCGTCCATTGTCAACGCCATCTTCAACGCCATCTCCAACGCCCATCTCTTTACCCCCCAACACGCCATTTTACCCCCTTTTTCGCCCCCTTCCCCCATTCCCCCCTCTTTCTGGACAAGACCTCCTCCTGCACCCAAGATCCGATGCAACCTTATCGGGTCGGAGACCCCCTGCCGTAAGGCTGGATAACTAACCCCTGCACCCGTGCAGGGCGGCATAATTGTTCTAATCGGCCCGGCTCACGCCGGTCCGATCCACGTCCTGACCCCTACCCAAGGCCAGGCCCCAAGTCCAAGCGCTTCATGCGTATGACGAGGCTCACGAGTAAGTTGGCGCCAGACGGGCCCGGACAGTCCCTTCCTACGGTCGGGGGCTTCGTCCGACGTTCGGTTGGTTGTGGACCCTCTAGTCTACATCATTAAACTGATTCTCACACACTCTAAACTAGTAGATAGCAAACAAGGCTTGGACCAGGCCAGCGTACCGCTCGACGGGTTAGCCAAGGTGTAGTGAGTCGATAGGTATGATGTGAACTTGCAGTCTGGCGCTGGGGCTGACGATCAAGACTGGGAGGAAGACCGGCCGGCCGGCCAGTCGGTCGGAGACAGCCATATCAGATCGCTTCTACCGGGGTTCTTCTCACAACGCTCCAGCCACTCACCTCACTCACGCACAAGCCAACCACCGACCCGGAAAGCCTTGGCACCCGCTACTCGGAGGGGGATCCACGTAAGACAGGCAGTGCACTCGCTGTCGATAAGCATAGGCGCACATGGCTCTGCTGTTGTGTTTGCGCCAACACCACAGTCAAAATATTTGTTTTGCCGGGTCAGTGGACCTTGCCATCGATGACTTCTCTTGCGGTTCAACCGTCTTTTGGGTGGTGGAGGCCGGGACGGGTGGGGGGTGGGAGGAACGACACACCTCTTGCCACAGCCACGGGAGGCAGGCAAGTTGAGGCCGAAGAGAGGCGAGGGAATACAGCAGAGTTGGGTGCTCCACTCTGACTGGCCACAGCTTGCTGTCTAGGTCGAGGGCGAGAAGAAGCACGGCGTCGGAGCGAGCAGCGGGTGACGACCGAGAAGCCTTGCAGCGGGGAGCAAGAGGCGCGAGGCAAGAGCGAGAGCTGGAGCGACCAGGAGCGGCAGTATGGCGTGCTGCTGTTGTGGTGGAGAGAGCAGGGTGTCCGACATGAAGCGCGGTAAGGCTGGAGCGACCAAGAAGAGGGGCATGCCGTCTGAGCCCATTCCGCTGGAGCATGGCGGAGTGGTGGTGGAGACGGTGGCCGGGCCTGTCCAGTTTGGCATTCCACCAGAGACGATCAAGGACTCGATGCGGGCACAGCTCGACGTCCCGACGTACTTTGTGGTCTTTGGCGAGATGTTTGATCGGACGCGATGTCTCAACTTTGCCGAGTTTGAGTTCCCGACGTACTTTAACTTTTCATCCGCAAGCGCAAGGTGACGCTCATTGTGCAGGCGCACGTGGCGGAGCGGATGCGGACGATTTTCCAGGAGACGCTGCTTGGGCCTGTGGACCTCTCGTCGCTGGCGATTGATTTTCCGGCGGACGTCCCGCGCGACGCGTGGCCAGACTTTGTCAAAGAGGGCCGCGATCTGGGCGACCCGCGGTACAAGGAAGAGCCGCTCAAGGTGTCTGACCTGATCGATTTCAAGGTCTTCAATGACGACTTTCGGGTGGAGCTCGACGGGGTGGTGGCCATTGAGGTCAACCCGATTGCCGAGTCGTTCCGGGTGACCGAGGGCGGCAGTGTCATTTCCGAGTTTCCGCTGTCTGTGCAGATGGGTTCTGCGTCCCCAGCCGAGTCTGAGAAGCTTATCTCGACGCTCTTTGTGCCACCCGAGTTTGGCGTCACGTTTGTCGGCACCTCGCACGGCTTTGACCCAGCAGGCAAGACGTCGGGCTTTATCCTGTGGATGGGCAAGCGCGGCGTGATTGTTGACCCGCCGCCGTACACGGGCGACGTGCTGATGCGGATGGGCATTGCACCGCGGCTCATCGACTCGATCATTCTCTCGCACTGCCACGCAGACCATGATGCCGGGTCGTTCCAGAAGATCCTCCGTTCGTCGAACGTGCGGCTCATCACGACGCCGACGATCCTCGGCTCGTTTCTCCGCAAGTACGCGGCCATCTCGGGCTTTTCAGAGGAGTTTATCTCAAATCTCTTCCGGTTTGTGCCGGTCAAGATTGGGGCACCGATTCGGGTTCATGGCGGCGACATCACGTTCCAGTACTCGCTCCACACCATCCCATGCATCTCGTTCCAGGCTGAGTACGCCGGTAAGACGATTGCGTTTTCGGGCGACACGTGCTACAACCCGGAGCTGCTCGCAGAGATGGAGGCCAACGGGACGATCGGGGCTTCGCGGCGAGAGCAGCTGATGAACTTCAACTTTGGGCCGACCTCATTCTGCATGAGGCCGGCGTGCCGCCGATCCACACACCGATTTCACTGCTTGCGGAGCTCGACGAGAGCACGCGGTCGCGGCTGTATGTAGTGCATGCGGCCGAGAAGGCAGTTGCCGGACTCGACGGCCTTCAGCGAGCGATCGAGGGCGAGACGGTGGCGCTGAACGTCGGCGACGTCGGCGACCCGCGCAACGAGGTCGTCGACCTCTTCTCACACATCTTTATCTACAAAGACCTGGTTGCGACGCGAGCGTCGGTTCGCAAGCTCCTGGCCAACATCGACATCGTTGCGTACGCCGCTGGCGACATCATTTTCAAGGAGGGCGACAAGCCCGACAAGAGCTACGTGGTGATGTCCGGGGTGGTGGCCGAGCGCGGAGCGCCGGGCCAGTATGTAGTCGGCGACTACTTTGGTGAGCTCGCGGTGGTGATGCAGCAGGACAGGCACGCCGACTTTTACTGCGCCACGGACGCAGAACTCATCGAGATCAAGCGGCACAACTTTCTCCGGCTCTGCCGCGGGACGGACATTGCCAGGCGGCTGACGACGGTGTTCGAGAACGTGGTGGAGCACTCGGTCCGCAAGGTCACCTCTAAGCACTCGATCTTTGGCAAGATGCTCTCGTCGAACCGGGTCCAGCTCGAGGCCATCATGCAGTTCCGGGGCATCGAACGCGATGAGGTCCTGCGTCGCCGAGGCGAGGACCCGAGCGAGCAGTATCTAGTATGCTCGGGCGAGGTGACCGTCTCGTTCCCGGGCTCATCCAAGCGCTCCATCCAGTGTCCTCCGGGCGCGTTTGTGTGCGACACCGACGCTATTCTCTCGGACCACACCTCGCGATGTACAATTTCAGCCACCGCCGACGGCACCTCGGTAATGGCCATCAACACCGATGACCTGCTTGATCTGTTTGCGCAGGTGCCCGGCCTGATGGTGTACACTCTGGGCAAGATTGTGACACAATGAAAGATGAAAGGGCTCACACAAGTTGTTGTGGTTGGTGGGAGGCGGCTATGGGACAGCAGGGCGGATCAAGCCGGCGTCAACGGCGGCCTCGGCTGGTGGCGAGAGCGCGGTTGGCACGGAGGCCTCTGACGAGGAGTCGTCGTCGGGAGGCACAACAAAGAGCATGGCCTGAACCGCCGCGATCTGGTCGAGGGTCATGAGCGCCGGTGCGTGGCCGACGCCGTCAAAGATGACGCAGCCGGCCGCAAGGCCCGGACCGGACGACGCCATGCGGTCGCGGATGTCCGGGAGAAGGAGATCCGAGTCAGAGCCGCCGATGAGGCCGACGCGGAGTGAGGGGTTGGCGACAGCAATAGCGTCCCACATGGCCCACATGTCGACATCACTCTCAAACGGCGGCTGGATGGGTGTATCGATTGCCGGATCGCACGCCAGCACATACGGCGGCTTGGTCGAGTGAACGACGCCGTGTTCGACGAGGTGGTCCCAATGGGCCTCCGAGCTGATGCCAAAGGGGGCGTAAACGTCCTTGAAGTGGGCCTTGACTTCGTCGAGTGACTCAAAAGCCAGCTCACGGCGGTGGGCGAGGTACGTGCCGATACGCTTGAGCACAGCCTTTGGTACCAGCGGGCCAACGTCATTGATGACAAGGGTGGTAAACGGGCACGACGAGCGGGCCGCAAGCGCCATGCCGATGATGCCACCCATCGACGTGCCGACCCAAGAGACGCGACCGGCGGAGGAAGCGTCAAAGCAGCCGAGAACGGCTGCAGCCTGGGCAGTGTAAAGCGGGTAGCCGTACTCAGAGTGGGCAAACGGGGGGAGCCAGTCGCTCTCGCCGCGACCGACGACATCGATGCAGATAACAGCAGTATGCTCCCGATCAGCGTCAACAAGAGCAGTGGCAAGCATGTCAAAGTCACGCGCGTTCCTCGTCAGGCCATGGGCTGTAAAAATGAGATGGAGGTCGGTGGCATCGGCGAGCGGCGCGCACGAGCGATGAGGGATGTGCGGGACTGAGTGACGGAAGGCCGAGGAGACCCAGACAGTACAGGCTGTGTTGAAGAAGCATAGGTTGCACGAGGTGAGCAGCTCGACCTGGACCGGCTTGAGGTGTGGGACAGAGGTAGCCATGTGCGGCGGCGGGAGAAGGTGTGTGTGCGTGTGCGGGCGACAGGTGGTGGCGAAGAGAGGTGGGTGAGGGTGCGGAGATACACTTGGCGCGAGGGTCAAGGAGGTAGAGCCAGAGAAGGGAAGGAGGTGGAGGAGGGAAGGGCGGCCTAGTATGGCAAGCAGTAGCAGTGGGTCAGGGGTTGGAAGGGGTAGGGTGTGTAACGAGCGGACGGTGGTCAAGTCGTTCTTTAGGGCGGTCGGGCATGGGAATGTGCGCAAGGTGGTGGGCATGATCCGCAAGCACGGACGGGGTATGGTGGATGTGCGTGATGGCGTGAAAGACTGGCTGCCGATCCACTTTGCGTGTGTGTGCGGGAAGCGTGACATGGCCAAGGTGCTGATCAAAGCAGGGAGCAAGATCAATGCGGCGGCAGGGCCAACCGGAAACACGCCGCTGCATCTCGCGCTGCTCAACCGGCACTGGAAGCTAGCGCGGAGTCTGGCCAAGCGCGGCGCAGATTGGGAAGTGCTCAACAGCAGCGGTAAGACGCCACGATTGCTGTTGCTGGAGGCACAGGAGTTTGGTAGTGGCGCGCGCGGCGGCACTGGTGTAGGCGGCGGCGACGGCAGTGGCAGCGACGTGGCCTCGTTCGACAGCAGGACCGAGTCGTCGTCGAGCGACGGCAACGGCGACGGCGAGGTAGTTGATGGTGTCGGCTTTGGCTCGTTGGCTGACTTTTATCGGCGGACGGCGTCGGGCATGGCGTCGGACGACGACATGTCGTCAACGGAGGGCGAGGGGCGGCTCCGGCGGCTTTCGCTCGCGCGACGGTCGTCCATTGGGCCACGGCGGCAGTCGAGCAAGGCCACCGGCGGGGCGCCTGAAGTCATTGTCGCGCGATCAAGCTCGTCTGCTGGCTACGTGGCGCCGTTCCCGATTGTAACACCCAACGACGACCCGCCGATCTCGCTGCGGAGACTACGGGAAGAGCTCAAGGACAAAGTCTCTGTCTTTGCTGAGCATGCCACGGTGCGCAAGACCGATGTGGATCAGGACACGATTGTGGTGCGGCTGAAGGCGCCTGACGACTCGACCAAGAAGCTCATGGTCAACTCGAGCTGGACTGGTGAGGAGTTGGAGAACTTTTGCTGCGCGCGGGCGAACCTCAGCCGGGCCGAGGCCGAGCTCATGGAGCTCGTTGTGCTGGACTCGGGCGATGAACAGAGCATCGTAACGTATGTCTTTGCGCCCGAGCCAATCCAGGCACAAGGTATCACGCACGGCACGCTGCTCTACCTCCGGGTCAAGTACTTTAAGATTCCGGTTAAGCCGTCGGTTCCGCTGCTGACGGTGCTCAAGGAGCAGCTGCTGTCTAACATGATGGACGGCTCAATGATTCTCTCGGAGCGGCTGGCGATCAAGCTGGCCGGCCTCCAGCTGGTCATTTCCAATGGTCCATTTCGACCCAATACCTTTTACAAAGGCTTTCTCTCGGACGTCTCGATCCTCAGATACTACCTGCCGCCGTATCTCATCGAGCGGTACCCGCCCAAGCTGTGGGAAGACCGACTACTTGCGGCGTACAGCGCGGTAGGAGATATCGAGCTCTCGAAGGCACTGCAAGTGTACGTGGAGACTTCGCAGCAGTCGCCTAACTACGGGGCGACCATGTTCAAGGGTCGTGCCAAGACGAACGGGATGTATGCACAGCTGGGCGTGGCGCAGGACGGCGTGTACATTGACGTGCGCGGAGCGGCGCCCAAGTTCTACGGATTTTACCGATCGAGTGGCAAGACGCAACACTTGCCGAACCTAGTCGGATGGCAGGGAGCGGTTGGTGGCGGAGGACGAGTCGTGCTCCACCTACGCGAAGGCGTGGCTGGGGCGTCCGTGCAGCAAGTTGAGTTTGATATCACGGGTGGCGCGTGTGTAGCAGTTGAGTTTCTCGACTTGCTCTCAGGCTACTACATCCTGCTAGTGTACTCGGACGCACTGTACGACCATCCAATCCTTGTGTTGGACGAGTCGATGTGGCTGCTGCCGCGCGAGCCGCTTCCGCTCCGGATTGCATGCCAGCCAGCGGCGACGCGAGCGCCTAACATCCCGTATTCGGACCTGGACTGGTTTGTGGAGCACTACCACGCACAGTGCGTCAATCAGAGCAGCCCGCCGCTGGTCTCGATCTTCCATCGACTGCACTCGGCAATGGACGAGGGAAGGCCGTGGACCAGCCTCGATGTGACGGACGCGCGGTCGTCGACGTCGCAGCTGCGGGTGCTCAACTTTGCCATCAAGAGCTTGGGCGCACTGGAGCGAGATGCGTTCATGGTGCCGGGGCAGATGCGGCTGACGCGTGTCTCGTTTGCCGACTCGCGTATTGGCGCGCGTAAGGACCGCCTCGGCGCAGCAGTGGAGATTATGGCGACGCTTGGTTTGACCTTTGCAATCGCGACCGTCGATGTGAGCAGGTGCGAGCTGCAGTCAGCGGAGCAGTACTCGCGACTCGCAGCAGGTCTTTCGTTCATTGTGCCGCTGAACAAGCTGGTTCTTGACGGAAATGAGCTGTGCGGCAAGGAGGCCGTGTCGGAGCTCAAGAGTGGGCTGCACGCCGGCAAACAAGAGCTGCAGCATGTGTCGTTTGTTGATTGTAAGATGGACGACGAGGCCATCATCGGGTTTGGAGGGCGGCTTTACGACGAAGAGTCTACCATCACTTACCTGGACATCTCGCACAACCGCATCACCGATTTTGGATTTGAGCACGGTCTCATGGTCAACATCCGCCACGGTACGTCACTCGCCTCGCTCAACATCGGGTACAACGACATGTCCTCGAGCTCGACGGCGATGTTGGTCGAGAAACTTCACGAAGGGATTACTATGTACGTGCTCGGGCTTGGCGAGTTTAACCTCAAGAGCAAGCACATGGCCGGAATTGTGGAGCGTTTGGGCGCAGTTGGCGTTCTCGACATCTCGCACAACTCAGTGGGAAAAGGCTTTCGAGAGCTAGCGGAGGAGCTGGCGACCAACGCCACGCTTCGAGTTCTGCAGGCCGAGCATGCCTCGATCGAATCCGGCGGCGTCGAGCTGCTCAGTATGTCGCTGGCGGTCAACCGGCACCTGCGCGAACTTGCGCTTGGCTCCAACGCTCTCTCGTCCAAGATGGCGCTCAAGCTGATGGAGGGCGTAGCACGAAGCAGGATGCTAACCGAGCTCGATCTCTCGAACAACTCGCTCGGTAAGAAGTTTGGCGCCGGGCTCGCTGCTGCGCTCGGAACTGGAAGCTGTGTCCTCGAGAAGCTTGTACTGAAAAACAACTCGCTCGGGGCGAGCGGAATCCAGGGCGTGGCGTCTGCGATTGTAAGCCTGCCACAACTGACGTCTCTGGACGTGTCCGACACCTCGGCCGAGGACGCTGGATTACTGGCGCTGGGCAGGGCGCTCGTGGGCAACACACATGTCGCGAGCCTCTCAGTTGCCGGCAACTACGTGTCTGAGGAGGCGCTGTGGGAATTTGTCTTGCTCATGCAGGACAACGTCGGGCTCCGGGTCATCAACGCAACTCGCAACGCGCTCTTTGAGCCGAAAGCGTTCGAGACCCAGCTCGCCAAGTTCAAGGTCCTCGTCGACATCGACGTGTCGTTCACGGATGGCACCGCCAGCGCAGTGACGCATCGTCTTGCGAGCTGGGGGCATCGTTTGAAGTTCATGTAGGGGGCGGCCACAATCTCAAAAACAAGCGCATGACAAACGAAAGCAGTCGACGCAACGCTGCGTCTGGCAGGTGCGGCAGAGGCAGACATTGTCAGAATCGATGCCTCGACGGAGAAGATGACGCGGGTAGTCGGCGGCATTTGGCCGGCGGCGATGTTGTTGACGTCGGTTGTGTTAGATGAGGAAGGTATTGGGGGATGGAAAGTAGGTGCTTGTGTATCTCGGGGTGATGAAGCCATGTGTGGTGCGGATGTGGTCACTGTGGGTGGGGATGGTCGGGAGTGGGGGTCGGAGATGGGCCAGGGGCGGGGTGGTCACCAGCATCAAAGGGACACCAGGAGAACAAGTTGGGCCTCAGGTGGCAGAACTCGGATTCCGGAATACTGCAGCTGTGGATTGGAGACCGTGCAAGGGGGTAGTGTGGATATGTAGTAGAGTAGTAGTGAAATCAGATTGGGCATATCTTGCAATGAGGTTGGTGGGGGTTGTGTGCGGGGTCGAGCGGTCGAGGACGTGCTCAACCACCTAGGCAAAACAAGCCGACGCGGAAATGAGCCGAGGAAGATGGGAATCGATGACAGCGATATTGATACTGGAGATAGTGTGGAATGTGACATGACCTTGCGTGTCGTCGCGGGCTGTGTAGCTGGTAGTGGGAAGGAGCTAGGTGGTGATGAAGGTGGGCTGATCGGGCGAGCGGGCGGCGGCTGGCGGCTGGTGGCCGGCGAGGCGAGGGCTGCTGAGGGAGCTGGGTCGGGGATGGTTGACTTGGAAATGCTGTTGGTTGGTATATAGGCAGTAAGGCATGTGATGGTTGGGCGGTGGCAGTGTTGGGGTCCGGGTAGAGGATGAGGGTGAGATAGAGTGGGGAGAGGAGGAGGAGGAGGAGGAAGAAGAGGAAGCCGAGTGCGCGATGGGATGGTGGTGGGCTTGGCGGTGGGAGTTGTGGCTGGGATGGAAGTGATGGTGGTGGGGTAGGGGTGAGGGTGGTGGTTGGGAGTGATCGGGCGTAATGAGTATGGTAGGGGGGATGAGGGGGGTCGTGACGTGGGTGACGGCGGGCGAAATGGTAGTAGG